CACTGCAGAGTTGAGCCTCAAGTGAATTGATACCATGCAGATTAAATCATCAGCACACCAGCAAGCAGTTTGACTCCTCCACGTTCAGATGGTAAAGAAAAACCAAGGAAATATTACAAACAAACAAGGGCTTATCAGGTAAGTGACTCCATTACCACTATCTTCATACCTTCATATTGGCATAGTCCTTCTCCAACTCTGAAATTTGAGCAGGCTTTACTTATTGTGCTCATTCCCACGTTCAGCAGCCACCCATGTATCTCTACAAATGTGCAATATTTGAACTCTCAAGTTCAAGCATTGTATAAATTCTATTGCATATCTGCAACATAAACAATGGCTTAATAATGTTATTAATGTGACAGAAAAGGCTGATTGCTTGAGCATTAGTGCATTATGTCTGAAATGAGAAGTGATCGTTTGAGTTGCAAGTAGTTTTCCAATTTGTTCCCAAAATGTTGATGTTTTGCATCTTGTGGGTGAAGAGAGTTAGCATGCTTTCCACTTGTGTGTACTAGCTTGCATCTCATTTCCAGCCTACACCACCGGCTATCAGAAATCCAAAAAAAGAACACAGCGTGCAAGTCAGCATGCAGTCTCTCCATTGGCATATCCTCAGCTGGACTTACCTGTGACAACACCTGGAACAACACCTGGAAACGGAGTCATTCATGGTCCCATCAAGGCTAAATCTTCACAGGTACTGGGAAAGTATTTGGTCCCCAAACATGCAGTATGCAGGCCCAGGAGCATGTTGATACACCTTGACATTATGAATCAAACTTCCAGGTTTGGGTAAATAGCTTCATTTTCTTGTGGATACCTTAGGTTGGGTTGAGTTGAGTTGAGATTATAATTGAGTTAAAGGCTTTGGGAGTAAACTAAGGGAAAAAAATCTGGAGTGGAGCCCAAAAAAGTTGAAAGTCACCACAAATCCAGAGGACCACAGGCTGCTTTCTCATGAGAGAAAGATGACTGGTGGGGTGTTTAAGTGGAGGATAACCAAGACTCAGACAAGGGGCAAGAGTTAGGAGGCAGAATGGGAACTGAACCTGCTCTGTTGGCACCACTCTGCATCTCAACCCAGCTATTCAGCCAACTTAGCTAAATTATGGCAAACTGACGTCTAAATATGTCAGCTTTGTGGCAACCTGCAACTAAGCTGGCAACAATTATAACATCAGCATTCCTTTGTAGTCAACTCAGGATGCTGAACTGGGGCCCTGACATTTAGCTAGTCCAGGATCTCCATAAATGTTGCTCGTCCTCTGGAGAGCATATTCCAATTTCACTGCAAAGTGTTAACATGGTATGGGAGGCAGCAGGTGAATAAGCCCAAACTAGACTGATATATAGAATGGATGCAATGGGTTGTCTCAGACTGCAGAAGAGGCCATCATCTCCCACTGATCAGCCAGTGCTCCCCTTAACGTCCGACTCGTAAGGTACTGACCTGCCACAGTCCTTCTATTTCAATGGCTGGTAAGAGCCGAGACATCCCCGTTCAACAAGTGGATGGAATCCATTGCACGAGGCAAACAAACCAATAGTAAGATGCCAACTCTTCGACTAGCATGTTGGAACATCAGGACCACGTGTACAGGACCAATGGACGACTTGCAGCTGCTCGATAACATATGAACATACGGATTAGGAGAAGCAGGCCATTTGAACGCAAGAGCCCACTCCACCATTCAAAAGACCATGGTTGATCAGTTTGTTTCAAATTCCACATTCCCATCTTCTTCCAAAGATCTTTTATTCACATGCCCAACAAGAATCTACCTTGGCCTTAAAAAATATTCAGTCATCCTCCTGTCACCAACTTGAAGCAACATTCCAAGGGTGCATAATGCCAAGAATAAAATTCTTTTCCCTGCCCTAAAACAGCAACCGTAATATTAAAAGTGCCTCAGTCCCCCTGATGGCCTCTTTACAACAGACGTTTCTACCTGCCTTTGTAGCATCTGCAAATTTTGCCACAATGACTTTGCCCCCCCTTTTATCTAAGTCATAAAATGTAAAAAGCTGAGGCCCTTGCACAGATCCCAGCAGTACTCCACTCATCAAATCCTGCCAATAAAAAAAAACCTATTGACACTTAATCTGTTTTCTGATGGCTAACTTTCTAACCATGCTAACATGTTATCCACGACACCTTGAGTTCCTACTTTACACCATAAATGTGTGGTACCTTATAGGGTTCTTGTGGAACAATGGTAATGAACCCTATCACTGGGCTAGTTGGCCTGAGTTCAAGTCCCACCTGCTCCAGAGGTTTGTATTAACATGTCTGAACAGGTTGGTTAAAAATAGGTATGTGGCGTCTTATTAAATGTCTCTGGAAACCCAAGTACAGGAAGTCAAAGTCTCCCCTGTATCCACAGTACATGTTATTCCTTCCAAGAACTCCAATAATTGGTTAAATGTGATTTAATTGATCCTCCAATGAGTGAGAATAAGAAGTTAACAGATAATAAGGAAAGTGCATACGAAAGGAACAAATATTTTATTTTGACTTCATGATAGAAGGTTAAAAAATTCTTGTAATACCTGCATTCAGGTGATGGAACAAGAAAAGAACTTGGCGAAATTGCAGTCATTGAGGAAGTAGTGCCAAGCAAACTTATGGAGCTGCAGGCTGACAAACCTTTGGTGTTGATGGACTTCATTTTGTGGTCTCAAGAGAGGTGGTAATGAGGTAGATGTGGTTTAATTTTCCAAAAAATTCCTACATTCTGTAAAGGTTCCATTAGATTCAAGAAAGTAGCAAATATAACCTCTTTATTCAAGAGAGAGAACCAGAAAACAGGAAACGACAGGCCAGTTACTTTGATGTCTGTCTAATTAGATGGTTATAAACTGGACACTTTAAAATGCAAGCCAATTGCAAAGAGTTGTATGGCTTTGTGAACACACAAGACAGCGTGATCAACATGGAACTCGATGGCTACAAGAGACAAGGCTCACCGAGAGGTCACTGAAAGAAAAACGTTTCACATTCATTTGGCAGGACAGGATTCGAAGGAGTGAATGAGCAAGGTTTAGATTTTGCAATAAGGAACTTGCTCCTCTTGATAATAGAAACCCTCCCTCAAACAGAAATAGAATTAGATTTTATTGTCACGTGTACTCAAGTATAGGAATAGTTCGCACATGTTCTTTCTGTCTGACTGAACCAAAACTGGGCCAGTTAACCTCATGAGTATCTATGCTTCAACAGTTTACTCCACTACAAAGGCAAAAGAACAGTTAAGAGATTGATTCTGCCATCAGCAGAATCCCAAGTCAGAACATCTTTACCTCTCATGGCTAATCTGATCTCAACATCACAGTGAATGTGGATCATGAGGTATTAGCTCCCTATCTCACATCATGGTAAAGATAAATGAAAGCAGATAGAGACTACGAGTTTTTCAAACAGAGAGGCAGTGTCATTGGATTAGCATTGTAGAACACCAGGCTGATGTTCTGGGGTCATGTGTTCAAATCCCACTATGACAGGTGGGGAAAGGGGAATTCATTAAAACTCCTGAATGGAAACCTGGCCTAATGGCAAACATATAGCCACCGTGCACTGCCTTAAAAACTGACCTGATTCACTAATGTCCTAAGGACAGGACATCCATCCTTGACTTGGCTATACATGACTCCAGACCTATAGCGATGAAAGTGACTCTTAATTACTGTCAGGGCAATTACGGATGTATAATAAATATTGACTTTGCAAGTGATACTGACATCCCACAACTGAATTAAAAAACGCTTCTTTCAGAACAAACCATGCCAAAGGTGTGCTGGGGCCATCCTAGATTAGGGCACTGGCATCAACTAAATCCGAACATCACCCATAGTGCTGACGGGATATACAGCACTCACTGATGTGCACCAAGGTTAGGATGCAATCCTTGGATGTTTTTCCATGAAAAACAGAAAAATCAGCAGCCACACTGCCGACCCAAATAAAAACTTTGCCTCAACTCAACTGAACTGGTACTGTCTACCATTCTTAGACAGCAGAGCCAAAAAGAGGTATGCTCCAAGACATCATCAACTTTAGACCAAGGAACAGAAGTACATCCGTATTGTGAAGAGTTTAAATGAAGTACACGAAGTTTGGTATGTTGGCACGTCATTACGAGGATGAATTTGTTCAGCCAAGGGTTGTTAATCTGTACAACTCATTGCCGCAGAAGGTAGTGAGACCAAGTAATTCAGTGCATTTAAGATTGAGATAGACAGGTTGATTAGTAACGGGATCAGATGTTACAGGGAGAAGGCAGGAGAATGGGGTTAAGAAACACATTAGCCATGATTGAAAGGCAGAGTAGGCTTGATGAGCCAAATGGCTTAATTCTGCTCCTGTATCTGTGGAATTATGAAGCACATAAATTCGACTAAAAGCAAAGATGCATCTAGAAGCATAATTTACAAAAGCAATGAGGAAATGTTTAATTATTTGTGCTTCGAAGGGCAAAGATCCACTATGCCACTATTTATTTTCTTAAGAGAATGGCATTTAAATAATCCAGATGGTCTTGCTGTAAACTAGTTTAGTATGTCACTGCAAACTACTCTTAAGTAACTGATCTAAAAATGTCACTTCTTCACCACAGTTATACAGAGCTCAAAAACAGTCCCTCAGACATAACTCAACTTAGAAGGACAGAATCTATCAATTCATTGTCTAGTAATGGTTATAAGTCCCTGCACATGAATTTTGCACCCTGCCCAACCATACTTCAGCAAAATCCAGTACCAATTCGCCTATCCACAAACTAGTCCTCTGTTCAGTTGTCTGTCAAAGTTTCTTACTATTCCATTAGTTCCAGTTAAATACAAACACAATATGCTTTAAAGCAATTTAATGCATTTGGGTTATAGATAGCAACAAACATTCAGGCCAAAAATGGGGAGCACTCCCTGAAATCCCACACTCACTGCTATTAAATGCATTCAGCTACAGAACAACTAAAGCACAGGCAAGCTTTGAGACTTACCGTTACTGTCTATCCCTTGCAATGCATCCTCATTGCTTGGCAAATCTAACAATCACAATATACAGAAACAGATTCAATAGATCAGGTATGTTCAGAAGGCAAAATTTTTCTGTATCCCCATATTAAATGAAGTATTCTAAAAGTTTACATTTTCCAAATTGGTCACAGCTTCTGTTTGTGGCCAAATTCAGTGTTTCATGGCCAGTGAATTGATTAGCATGCAACAGACTAGTGCAATAGGACAATCAGCAACTGTTCACATCGGTCTGGGCATCTTAAAAAATTAAAAGGATTTCATTTCTTGAGAATCATCAATAATCATGTTCAAGAAAATGACAAACAAACAGTCTACTCAAGCAAACTCGAACCAACAGTCCAAATACTTCAGTTGTTTTGGCCTTATAAAATTTAAATAAAGTAAATCAATTAATATTTCTGCTCTTTGGAATGTTCTGCTTCCTGCTTCACAGCTTTTACCAACATAGCTGTGCAACAGGCTGCAGGAATACTGACAGTTGCTCTGTCTCCCCCATCTCCCCAACCCTGTGAGGGTACAGCAGGAGTCATGGGTAGGTAGCATAAGCTGTGATCAAAATGGCTCCAGAATATTTATGACAACAACACAATAAGCAAGGTCACTTATTACAAAAAGTGAGAGCCGAGATGGGGAACAGAAACAAAGGGCCCCCTGAGTACAAACACACAATAACTAAGCATCATGCAACTGGTCAATATGGTCACAAAAGTCTAAACCAAGGCTCTATTTTGAGTGGGGTAAGAATGGCAAATTGGGGAAGGTATATTAAAACTTTGGTTAGGCCACAATTGGGAGTATTTTATACAATTCTGGCAGCCATATTATGAAAAGGACAGAGGCACAGGAGACAGCAGACATGATTTACAAGGGTGACACCAGAAAATCGGGGTCCACATATCAGGAAAGAATTGACAGGCTGGGACTTTTCTCTTAGAAAACAATAACAAGTGTGACTGAAGAGGTCTTCAAATCAATGAAAGGTTTTGACTGAACGGAGAGAGAGATAATTTTGTCCCATGGGGAAGAGCTTAACAAAAGCCCACCAATGTGAGTGAGTCACTAAGGAATCTAATAGGGGATTCAGAAAAGAAAATATACACCTCTCTCCACAGTTTGAGAGAAGGGTCCTGTCGGATTCGGACCTTAAGTTTGGTTCTCTCTCCACAGCTGCTGCCAGATCTGCCAAGTTTCTCGAGCATTTTGATTTTATTTCAGCAGTACAGAGGCATTTAAGGGGAGCTAAATACCCATTTGAGGGAGATGGTAATAAATGATATGACTTCAGACTTAGATGAGAAAAGACAGGAGGAAGCTGAAGAAAGTAAGCCTCTGGCTGGGTCAAACAGTTTGTATCTACCCAAAACACAATGTAATTCAGTCAACCTCGTGCTGTTATTCACTTCCACAATTCTGAGAACTAAGACAAAGCTTGCATTAATATCACACTTTACAACTTCTCAGAAGCAGATAATATTTTTCATTAGTCAACCCAAAATTAATAACTTCGCACCCTCCACTAGAGAAACTGCTACAAGGATTCTCACATCAACTTTCTAATGCATCGTAAAATTTAGTTTAAAGTCATAGAGGACAAACTAATAAAGTAAAAATGCAGCTATAAATAGATTGCTGTATTGATCTGAAATAACAGCAAGCCCAGTTGACCCACAATCACGCATGATTGCAGGCCTGCATGGCTGCCAGTTTAGCAATGCCAATTCTACAATTTTCATCTGTTTTCAAACCCTTTCACAGCCACTTGACATGTCTGCAAATCTACTCCAGGCCCAAGAACCTTGCGCTGTACTGTTCTTTGAACCCTACAGGATCTATGCTCCACTTGTCCTGACTTCTAGTCAATTCCCCAATTTTCAAGTCTTTGCCATTAGCAAAGATGCTTTCAGCATTCTAGACTCCAAACTTTGGAAATTCCCCTTCAAGCTCCTTCTCTTACTTTCTTTAATAGTCTGGTTAAAACAAATCTTCGGTCATGCTTTTGATCTCCAGTCCCAATATTCTCTTCTGCTTTCAGTCAAACTTTGTTTGACAATGCTCCAGCAAAACCCCTTTGCTCCTTTTACTAAGGTACAGGGGCTACACAAATGCAAATTAGAATCACAGAACATTTACAGCACAGCAGACAGCTCTGCTCCTCCATTCCTGCACTAGTCAAAGACCAAGCCACCTAGTCTATCCCACATTCCCTATACCCAGTATTTGGTCCATAACCCTGAATTAAAATGTTAACATTCTATTAGCCTTCCCAACAGTCTGCTGCACCTAGTGGCCTTTAGTCACTTATCAATAAAAACACTTAGGTCCTTCATACATCTATACTTTCTAACCTATTTCCATTTAAAGAAATATTCTGCAGATCAGTTTCTCGTTCCAAAGGCTATAACCACATATTTTTCCACACTATGTTGTATGCCAGATTCGTGCCCATTTAACAAACTTGTCCAAAATCTCCTGAAGGACACACATTTCCATTTAACTTTATTATCTGCAAATTTGGAAATACAGCACTTCGTTCCCACCTATCAAATCATTGATACAGATCGTGAACAGCTAGTACTAGCAAGTACTGAAACTCGCGGTACATTAGTTACAGCCTTCCATTTGCAAGAATGACCCATTTATTACTACACTCTGTTTTCTGTCTGTTAGCCAATCATTAATCTATGCTATCTCTTGTGCTTTAGTTTTTATAATCTGCCCCCTATGTGGGACTTTAGCAAAAGCCTTCTGAAAATTTAAGTACATGGCATTCACTGACGGTCTTTTATAATTTTGTGAGCAACATCTTCAAAAAACTCCAAGTTTGTTAATCACAAATTCCCATTCCCAGATCCACGTTGACTGCACCCAATCAGATCATTATCAACCAGGTGTCTATTTATCCTTTTTTAATAGATTCTAGCATTTTCCACACTATTTGTGCAAGGCTAGCAGGTCTATACCTCCTATTTTTTCTCTCACTCCCTTCTTAAATAGTGCCGTGACATTTGCTACCTCTCATTCCAGAATCAGTAGAATTTTGGAAGAGAATCACCAATGCAACAACTCTCTCTAGCCAGCTTGTTCATCACTCTGGAAGGTAGACCATCATTTTCTTTCCTTGTAGCCTTTTCTTTTATTAAAGGAAGAAATACTAATTTCCTTCAATTCCTCATTCTCCCAAGCCACCCAGATCCCTAGTTCTGAAAGACTTCTGGTATCTTCCTCAGTGAAAATAGATGCAATTTAGCTTCTCTACCATTTCATTGTTAGGAAAGCTACATGAAATGTTAACATTTATCACAAGGAAAGTTACACTGGAGTTAAAAAGGGTATTGGTGAGACTGCATCTGGAGTACTGTATAGAGTTTTGGTCACCTCATTTATGGAATGATTGCAAATATTTAGAAAGCAGTTCAGAGATGGCTTACTAGACTAGTACCTGGAATGGCAGTTGAGGGTAGCATCTTACATGGAAAGGTTGAACGGGCTAGGCTTGCATCCAACATTGCCTATAATATTCTTCCCACTGCATGGGCCTTAGAGGTCCGAGAATGATAGTGGAACCTCGCAGTACCCATGCAACAGAAAAAATGTTACTTGTATCCTCTGAGTTTAGAACAGTAAGAGGGGACTTGATTGAAATAAAAGATCCTGTGGACTCTTGCCAGGGTAGATGTGAAAAGGATGCCCCCATTGTGGGGAAACCTAGAACATAGGACCCCTGTTTAAAAGAAAAAAAATCAGGAATCACCCATTTAAAAACAGAGGAAAAACCAAATTCTTCTGGAGGTTTGAGTGTTTTTCTTCTGGTTTTCTTCGGGGGGCAGCACGGGGGCTCCATGGTTAGCACTGCTGCCTCACAGTGCCAGGGACCCAGGTTCGATTCCACCCTCAGGCGACTGTACGTGTGGAGCGTGCACGTTCTCCACGTGTCTGCGTAGATTTCCTCCAGGTGCTCCAGTTTCCTCCCACAGTCCAAAGATGTATGGGCTAGGTAGATTGGCCAGGCTAAATTGCCCATAGTGTTCAGGAATGTGTAAATTAGGTGGGTTACAGGGGGATGGGGTCTGGGTGGAATGCTCTGAGGGTCGGTGTGGACTTGTTGGGCCGAAGGGCCTGTTTCCACAGTGTAGGGGCTCTATGAAACTATGAATGAAAAGGCAGTGGTATCCTTGAATAGTTTCACAGCAGTGGTGGATACTTTCTTCACCTCTTCAGGGAGTGAAAACGTTGTCAGGGCTGGGTAGGAATGCAGATTTGGGGTTACAATCAGATTAGCCATGATCTTACTGAATGGCAGAGTAGATTTGAGGTGTTGAATGACCCACTTCTGTTCCTTGTTTGTATGCCTCTTATCATAGTTCCAAGATGGCACGTAATGGGGAAACTATTTTCTTGACTCAGACTGGACCATCACTATCTGATTTACCTTTCTTAGGCTCACTACCGACAGTAGTCTTCCCATCCTTGTTCTCTTGGTTGACTTTGTCCTTCAGTTTTTTCTTGTTTGTGGTTTCCTCCTGATTCCAACCCAGTTTCTTCCTGTTCTCAGCCGTGCTGGCCATTTTCAGTTTCTTGGCCAACACGGGAGCTCTGCTTGCGTCACTAATGGGGTCTGGCTCAGGATTTCGTCGCTTCTTGCCTGGCCCAGCTATTTTGGCGGCTCTGACTGGATGAGCTCTTGGATAATGAAAGACTGGCCTGGACACAGCAAGTCAGACTGCAACAAAAGTTATGGACAAGTTATTCACCATTTGCAAAAGTAGAAAATGCCTTTCAACAGTTTGCACGCTTTTAGTAATATTAAAATCACAACACTTTATAGCGCTAGATGCCAAGAGAAGCTTCACTTCTCATGGCTTTCTCATGACTCGGGCAGGCAGCATCACTGCATATTTGGTGCCAGGTGTGGCTGCTTAATTTGAAGGCGAGTGCACTGTCCAGAGGGTTAAGGGTACAAGTTCCACAGATCTCAGCAAACATACCTAATGCAATAGTAAAAGTCTATTAACCAAGGCTGCACTTGCACCTGCCAAAGTGCACTCTGGTGTTCCCATCAATAATTATTTCTTAACAACAGTGTATTTTTGTTTTGTTTTTGAAAAGAAAAAACTGCAGGTGCTGGAAATCAGAAACCTTAACTCTGCTTTCTCCACAGATGCTGCCAGACCTGAGTTTTCCCAGTAATTTTCACCTTTGTATTCATTTTTAGTACAATTAACATAAGTCCCAAGAAAATAGTATATTGATCAAAAAAACATTTAACATCAAGGTACAGAATGAGATATCAGGTTCAACAGGTGACCAAAATCTTGATCAAAGAGGCAGGTTTTAAGGAACATCGTAAAAAGTAAAGAGGCAGAGGGGTTAAGAGAGGGAATTCCAGAGCATGAATGCATAACTGCTAAAGGTGCAGCAATTAAAATCAGAGATGCACAAGAGACCAAAATTGAAAGAATGCAGATATCTCAAAAGGTTTAAACCGCAAGACATGGCTGAAGCAGGCCAACAGGCCCATGGAGTCTGCTGTGACAATCAATGAGATCATGGCTGAGCATCAACTCCACTTTCCTGCTCTTTTCCTGTAACCCTTGAATCCCATACTAATTAAAATTCTATCTATCTTAGCCTTGTGGATGAGAAACAGAGGGGCCAAATGTAGAATAAAACGATAAACTATGGATGCTGGAGTTCAGGAACAAAAACAGGAATTGCTGAAGAAACTCAGCAGGTCTGGCAGCTTCAGTGGAGAGAGAAACAGAGTTAAGGTTTTGAGTCCAGCAACCATTTGTCAGTTCTATTTATTGGTCCCAGAAACAGCTGCCAAATGTGTGGTGAGACTTGTGGCTCTAGGATTGGGGTCATTGGCTACGCAACAACCTACCGATCCCGTTAGCAGTGACATGGAATCTCAGAGGTGACAATCATACTTGTTAGCGGATGATTGCCACTGCTACCAGCTTTGGACAATTCAAGAACTGGAAAGCACTACACAGGTCTTGACACTAATCCCAAGTTACTTTATAGATTTGCTGAAGACCATCAAGAGGAAATAAAAAGTTCAATTTAGTTTCCTTGTTCATCAGCTATGAGGATGATTTCATTCAAGAAACAGTATTCACACTAGACATATTCAGTGTTTCTCGGTATAGAGTACCATTTTGCTGCCTTCTGGAATATTTCATATACAAAATTCAATGTTCCATTTCCCAAGTCTGTACTCAAGTACAAGCTATTCAACAAATACTGGTATTCCTGCTAGTTAAAATAAGTCAAGCCTATTTGTGAAAACAATGAGATAGCAAAATGAACACCCGGTTATCTCTGCATGCAACTCTACCTATAACAACCAGGTGAGATTGCCATACCATAATTTCAAAATTTTTTTTAAGGTAAGTCTTACTGGCACTGATTAATAAGAGACTTCACTTGATACTAAAATAATTGTAGCACGGTTTCAGAACAGGGTACGTACGCATTCACCCCTCACTGTTTTCACATCATGCTTGAAGCATAACCAATTACCACCTTTAAACTGCTCACGGAGATTTGAGTCAACTTTCAAAAAGTTTAAACTAACCCATCTCAAACCCCAGTGATGAGCAGGGGAGGAGAAATTGCTCCTGCTCATTAAAGGAACAAGAACATGAGGGCATAGGTCTAGTGTTTTTTTTAAAAATTCATTCATGGGATGTGGTTCAGCACTTAGGGCTTATCCCTAATTGCCCAGAGGGCAATTAACAGTCAACCATATTGCTGCGGGTCTGGTGTCACATGTAGGCCAGACTGGGTAAGTTTGGCAAATTTCTTTCCCTAAAAGGACAGCAGTAAACCAGATGGATTTATACAAATGGCCGTGGCTGCCATTGGTTAGTTTTTTTTTATTGAATCCAAATTTCATCATCTGCCAGGATATTAACCTAAGGTTTTGGATCATCAGCCCAGTGACATTACCACCTCCCCTGTGCTGACTGTTCAGCTGCCCAGAACCAGAGAGTTGCTGATAGCCAATGATCTTTGGCGTTCATAGCTGATCTCAAATCAAATAAACGAATCAGTAGCTGGCTGCCCACTAAATCTCACTCGGCATACACCCCAATGTCATGCGTTCTTATCTCTTCTCCCCAACTGCTTACAAAGCAGTGTAAACACAACTCTCAATGAGTTCCAGTATCTTGTTTTCACAAGTGTAGCAATTCTTTATCCAGACCTTGGATGTAAAAAACAGTCCTTTTCCCATTTTATATCACAATAATTAAAATAAAACAACGCTGTCTTTATATTATACTCATGTTGCAAGATCATAAGGGATCAGTTTCTTTCCAGATTGACGACAGAAAAAGATATTGCTTAAAACACTAACAGGAAAGCCCCCAAAAGCTTAAAAAGAACCATATCACTAGTTTCTAATGAAATGCAAACACATTTCCCAGAGGCGATGGCATCTGAACTGAGAGTATCACAAACACGTCCTTATAAAGCACTTGATCAACCAGATAAAAATACTTACTGTAACAAAACAATAAATAGATTTTTAAGAGATAGTAGGAACTGCCGATGCTGGAGAATCTGAGATAACACGGTGTAGAGCTGGATGAACACAGCAGGCCAAGCAGCAACACGGTGCTGCTTGGCCTAAATAGATTTTTAAAGTAGGATTGTGTAACTCTTTTATCCATGGGATAGGAACACTGTTAAAATCAACATTTGCTGCCCATTACAAGTTATCCAAAATTTCCACAGATACTGCCATGTCTTGCACAGGGAAACAATTCCCGAAAGGCTACCCATGTTCTTCTCATTAGGTTCATCTGCAACAGTGCTCAGAAATATTTTGGAAGAACTAATTGGAGGGAGTTTTATTTAAGTTTTGTAATGGGATGTGGGTGTTGCTAGCAAGGGCTGAAATTGTTGCCCAAAGTTGTCCTCAAAACGAGTGGCTTGCCATGCCATTTCAGACTGAAGTTAAGACTCAAATTTCTGTGGATCTGGAGTCACATATAGGCCAAACCAAGTAAGGATGGCAGATTTCCTTCCATAAGGGGCATTACTGAACCAGACTGACAGTGGCTGCATGGTCACTATTATGCTTTTAATTCCTGTTTTGTTTTATTGAATTCAAATTTCAACACTTACGGTGGGATTCAAACTCATGTAATCTAGAATCATATTTAGAGGACAAGTCCAGCAACATTACCACTATGTCACTGCCTCCCTCTGGACTCTGCACGTAGGAAACTGTGCCCAGCTACTGTCCAATTTCATATCAGGATCTTAATCCAGCATTAAGCCCTAATTCACACTCAACCCAAATCCCCAAATTTACAGCCACATATTTCAGACTAATCAGCTAAAGATCACCAGATCCAATTTTAGAATGAAGGGTACTGCTGAAGTTAACTAGCACAGAAGGTTACAACTCAAATTTGGATCCCGTTTCATTTCCTCTCTTGTATGGGATGTCCCACAGCCCTTGAAGAAAGAAACTGAAATGGGAACTAAATTTGAGCTATCAATTGGATACAGGAGATCACTCCAACAGTGCCCTTGGACTGCTTGGCTTCCTAGGCAACCAAACTGCTGTGGGTCTGGAGTAACATGCAGGTCAGGCTGGGCAAGGACAACTGATTTCCCTCCCTAAAGGGCATTATGAACCAGAAGGGTTCTGACAATTTATGACAGGCTAATTAATGATGTAAATGAAGCTCAGTTTCCTTTCAATTCTAGATTACAGCAGGCACCATGGTAAGATTTGAAACCAAACCCTTTAAGGCTCTGAATTGCTGGCCCAGTGACATTATTACCATTCTGCCAATTACATTCAGAACAATACAGCATGGAAGTAGGCCCTATGGCCCAAATTGGTCCATGTTGATCACTCAGCTAGTTCCAATTGGCCGCATTTAGTCCTTATCCCTCTGAACCCTTCCCATCCATGTACCTATTGAAATGTTTTTTAAATGTTGTTATTGTACCTGCCTCAACCACTTTCTCTAGCAGCACATTCCACACACACACAACTCTCTGCGTAAAGTTGCCCCTCAGGTCCTCCTTAAATCTTGCCCCTCTCACCATAAACCTATGCCCCCTAGTTTTCAATTCCCCATTCCTGGGAAAAAGACTATATGCATTCATACTATCTATGCCCTTCATGATTTTATACATCTCAATAAGGACAATCCGCATTCTCCTACGTTCCAAAGAATAAAGTCCTATCCTGGCCAACTTGTCCCTATAACTCAGGTCTACTAGTCCTGGCAACATCCTCGTAAATCTTATTTGCACACTTTCCTATAACAGGATGACCAAAACTGTACACAATATTCCAAGTGCAGCCTCACCAACACCTTTTACAACTGTAACATAACATCCCAACTCCTATACTCAACACCTTGACCGATGAAGGCCAGCATGCTCAATGCCTTCTTCACCATCCTGTCTACCTGTGACACTGCTTTCAATAAACTATGTACTTGTACTCTTAGGTCCCTCTGTTCCACAATACTCCTCAGGACCTTACCATTTGCTGTATAAGACCTACCTTGATTTGACTTTCTAAAAAGTGCAACACCTTACACTTATCAGTATTGAATTGCATTTGCCAATCCTCAGCCCACTTCCCCATCTGATCAAGATCCCTCTGTAATTCTGATAACCTTTCTTGCTATCAACGATACTTCCTAATTTTGTATCATCCGCAAACTTACTAATCATGCCTTGTACATTCAGATCCAGATCATTTATGTCAATAACAAATAACAAAGGTTCCCTGTGGCACACCACTAGTTACAGGCCTCCTGTCCAAGAAACAACCTTCAACCATCAACTCTCTGCTTCCTACCACCGAGCCAATTTTGAAGCCAATGAGCTAGCTCTCGCTGGATCCCATGCGACCTAACTTTCATGACTAGCCTGCCGTGCAGGACCTTGTCAAAGGCCTGACTAAAGTCCATACAGACAACATCCACTGCCCTACCCTATCGATCCTTTTGATTACCTCTTCAAAAAACTCTAAAAGATTTGTCAGACATGACTTTCTGTGCACATATCCATGCTGACTATCCAAATGCTGGTTTATCCTGTCCCGCAGTATCCTCTCCAATAACTTGCCTACCATTGATGTCAGGCTCACTGGCCTGTAGTTCCCTGGCTTGTATTTATTACACTTCTTAAACAATAGAACAACATTAGCCACCCTCCAGTCTCTCCTCATTTCAAAGCTAAGACTCAGCCCCATTGAAGTCCTGTTTCCCCCCTCCATCTGCCTGCAATAATCATGTACCCAGTGCCTGAGTTTTGCCTCATCTGAAACTCAATGCCTACCACCTAACCAAGAACACAAGTTGCTCCAAATCTCTCATCCTCAAAAGTCATGACAACAATATTTAAAACTGATTTGGTATATAAATAATTTTCACTCCAACTCACATTATAAAGCAATGAAACTGAAGACAGTTGGAAAGCAGACAGATGACGTCTGTAACTTGTTTAATCTTTGCTCCTGAAGTTTAGTTTGTAACCCAAACTTTTAACTTATTTCCAAAAGCCCTAACCAAAGGACCAAGGTTCATGCCACAGCAGACCATTCAGAACACAGGAAAATGGATGATACAGTGCCTGCTACGAGGCCCCTCCAGTTCATTTGACTATTCAGTGAGATCATGGCTGCTCTTCCATCACAAGTCCAATTTTCCGTCTTTACATCGTTTAATTCCTTAAAGCCATAAAGATATTGCCAGTCTTGATTATACTTAAATGGATAGAAATACTAAGAATCAAAAAGGTAGCACACTGCAAGATGAATGGAGGAAGAGATCAACTTCAGCTGAAGTGCAATTGGATTTAAAAGATATTGGGAGGTGATAGCCTAGTGGTATTATCACCTATTAATCCAGAACTCAACTAATGTTCTGGGGATCTGGGCTCAGAATTTGAATTAAATAAAATTATCTACAATTAAGAATCTACTGATGACTATTGTTGATTGTCAGAAAAACCCATCTGGTTCACTAATGGAGGAAATCCGCCATCCCTACCTGGTTTGGCCTATATGTGACTCCAGACCCACAGCAATGTGGTAGACTCTCAACTGCCCCCTAACGTCATATTGTACTGCAAGCTCAGACCAAGTTATTAGCAATTCTAAATTTAACAGTTCTTTTAATCTGCAAAGTAGGCTGGACCCAAATAGACAGCATGAAAATCAAATAGTGAAAAAAAAGACAAGTGGCTACTGTACCGTGGCCGGTCCAAACATGTCAACATTTTTGCAGATCAGAAACGAACGGAAGACAGAATCACATAGGAATTTGTTAGAACATCAAAAGACAATTTAGCTGCAAGCACACTTTCATTTATGTAGATCAACTTCGTTACCATCTTTCTGCTAATCCCTTCAGCAACCAGAAATGCAAGCAGTTTGTTATCGTAGTTACTTATGATTCTGCTCCAATACCCCTGCCTAATAACTTATATCACAGCTGCTTTGGTGAAAGTTTTGCCTTATTAATTGAACCCTTCACCACAGTTAACAACTTGTTCCAGATCAATTTTGTGAATTCTCTTTTTCACTCCTTGCTAAAAGGTTACACACCTATCATGCATGTGATGTGTTTTAGGTTTACATTTTAAAGTGTGCCTTGCATACCAGTGAAGCGAACCTTGCACCATACCCGTGCTTGGAGTTGCTCTATCTACTTTCCTACAGCTGGGCTGACATTTCGGACCACCTGGTTATTGTTTGAAGGCATAACACCAGCATCATTGCAACACCTGAATAATGCATTGGAACAGTGTGGGCAGTTCTAGAATGCATTGCACAATGCTGTCAGTTAAGGTGATTAAAATAAGTTGTAAAGGATGGCACACAGATTGAAAGTATGTATGTCATGCAGCAGTATCAACAGTATGCATTTTTATAGCACCTTTAACACAATGAGCTGCTCTATGGTGCTGCATAGGACTGTCAGTCCACAAAGTCTGACTCCCAACCACATAAGATTTATTAGAACAAGTGATCAAAAGTTTGGTGATTTCTGACCCTAGTCCAACACCAGCACTTTCACATGATGTTTTAGAGAAGATCTGAGGAAACTTTTTTTCATCCCGAGGGTGGTAGAAATATCGAATGCGCTATGCAAGGGGGTGGTGGAAACAGGTACTCTTGCAACATTTAAGAAGCATCTGAACAAGCACTTAAAATGCCAGGGTATAGTAGGCTATGGACTAGGTGCAGGTAAATGAGATTAGTATAGTTTGGTGTTCATTGGCCAGCATACATATGGTGGTCCCAAGCACCTGTTTGGTTTATCTGTATGACTCTGACACCTGTATGAGCAACAAATATAGCAACAGAACTCAGTGTTTAATTGCTAGTTGACAAGGTTGTCTGAGAAACAGAAATCAGTGGGGGATCAAAAATAGGTAGGCAGCACGAAGAGTATGACTAAAATAATGTTAGTTATGAAATCAATTTTCAGGTTGTTTGAGGAAGTAACCAGCTTCATGATAAACAAAGAATGTTGGAGTCACTCATTCAATCAAGTAGCAACTGTGGAGAAAGGACGCATTTAGGTAGCCAGATTCTCCTATCCTCCAGATGTTACTTGATCTTTTTCTGCGGCATTAACTATTTTCATGTCAAAATTCTAGCACCCACATTATACTGCATGTTGTAATCAGTCCCATTGGATTTTTCAAAGTCAACAATTATAAAATAGAATTGAAGTAATGCTCAAAAAACTGAAAGACTGCCACCTGTTTCCATGATTCATATTACTGAAGGATTGTACTGTCATTGTCACCAGCTCTGTAATGAGATGGAATACATTTGTTGACAATGTGCGAGTGAGTTAGATGATCAAATCTACCTGTGATAAGATGACAGACTGCACTCAGGCACAATAACTGATCCAAACCAAAAAGTTACTAAGTATACTACAAGTGCACCATTGCTAGGGTAATTTCGATGTGCTTCCTACAGTTCAACAATGACTACCATACATAGCAACTCCACTGGCAAGTGCTTTCACACATATACTGACTTTGTGAAAGGCCAGTCAAGAAATGCAAGTACTTCTTTTATATAATCAATCAATGGAGTCAAAAAGGAAGAATTACAGACTTTGCTCCCCAAACACTTACAAATGATTCAACAGCAGAACCATACAGCAAGGAGAATGCATTATTGCTAAACAAGTTCTCCATTTTCCAACACACTGCACAAAATTAGAATTCGCAAGCAAACCAAATCCAAAAGTCATTCTTGAGATTGAGGGAAAACTCACCTCAGTCAGCAGTTCAATTATGGCTCAGGCTCCAGAATCTGCTATTCATAAAACAGCACCAATGAAGCATATTAGACATGGACGTGGCAGATTAAAACTCTCACCAATCTAGAAAAACAGATATATTTAAAATACTGAGTTAGGAAATTAAAAAGAAAAAACACCTAACTATTCTGATCCTGTTTTCCAGCACTTAGCACTTAACGTTGTATGCTTTGGCATGGCAAGTGAACATTTGAGAAGTTTGTAAAATGTAATGAGGGTTTATGCCTCTACCACCCTCACAGGCAGGGAGTTCCAGATTTACACCACCCTCTAGGTGAAAACGTTTTCCCTCATATCTCCTCTAAACCTTCTGACCCATTACTTAAATCGATGATGGAGGGATCAATGACCAGGAAGCAATGTGAATAGTTTCTTCCTGTCTACTTTATCTGTGCCCCAGATAATTTTATACATCTCAATCATGTCCCCTGTCAATATTCTTTGCTCTAAGAAAAACAATCCCAGTTTGTCCAATCACTCTTCACAAGTAACACTCTTTAGTCCAGGCAACATCTTGGTACAGGGAAATCTCCTCTGCACCCTCTCTAGTGCTATCACATCCGTCCCGTGATCTGGATTTCAGAACTGCATACCATACTCTACTGTGGCCTAAGCAATGTTTTATGCAGTTACAGCACAAACTCCCTGCTCTTAAATTTTACGCTTTGACTAATAAAGTATATCATGTCTTTTCAACGATTCTACCCACATGTCCTCATACCTTAAAGAGACTAAGTCTCTCTGATCCTCAGTGCTTCATATATTGGCAAATTTCAGAGAAGTGTAAAAGTAATAGGACAGTGATAGTTGGGGATTTCAACTTCACAAACATTAAATGAGATAGTTGTTTTGGAGGGATTGGAATTCTTAAACAACATTCAGGACAGCTTTTTAGGCCAGTGCATAGAAGGCTCTACAAGGGAAGGGTTGGTGCTGGACTTACATGTTACATAACAGAGCTGTTGAAGTATCAATGGGGGAAGCATTTTGCAAACAGCGATCATAACTTTGTTAGATTCAAGATTGTTATGAAAAAGGATTAAGATGAGCCTGAAATCTAAGTTCACAACTAGGGGTAGGTGGATTTTAATAAGATCAAATTTGATTTGGTCGAGAGTGAACTAGGAGTAGATACTTTCAGGTAAATGTCACGGAAAAGTGGAATACATTCAAGAAAGAAATATGGAGAGTATAGGGCTATCATGTTCCAACCAAATGCAGATGTGGCGAGATACCTAGAAAACAACCAATTTCCAGGAGTAGTATTTATAAGTAAGTCTTGAGGACAAGATGACTGAATCCATGTAGTTTCTACGGACGTGTGAATGTGCCAACAGGTCCCCATCAGGCAGCAGCAAACCAGCTGATGCAAACAAGCTGGCAGCGACACCCGGTAAACACAGTACAGGCACTCAAGCAGTAATGAATTCAACAGGTCACCGGCCGTGCTGCTGAGGGGGATGGACACTGAACTACAGGTTCCACACGGGCTGGAGACCCTGAGCACAGTAAAGTGTAGCCAACTCCCGGCAGGGACCAACCGACACCCCGCCAGGCCCCAGGGAGCCACTCTCCCTGGACAGGACAGGCCCCCACCCCCCTCCACGAAGCCACGGCCTCGGAGCTACCTACCTCCAGCTCGGGGCTCCCCAATTCTTGGAGCTGTTGCCAGCCCTCAGCTACTCTCCCTGCGGCTTAACGGCGTTCCCGAGTCATCCGGGCCGGACTCAATTCCAAACTTCTCTCCGCAGCAGGGGCCTCAGCCTGTCGTTCTCCCCCGGGACCTGTGCCTTTCCCTCTTCCCCAGAGCTGGGACCGGGGCCTGGGCCTTTCCTTCTTCCCTGGAGCTGAGGCCACGGCCTGTCGTTGTATACCCGAGAGCCGGGGCCTCGGCCTGTTGTACTTCCCCGAAGCCGGGGCCTCGGGGCTGGTGCAGCGGCGGACAATCCTGAACTTCCGGTGACGGGAAATACCTCACCGGCGCCAGGCCGCGGTCGCGTCACGTGACCTGGAGCGAGGAACGGCTGAGCGTGCGCGTCCCCGGGATGTGACCGAGCGCGGGGGCGCGGCCAGGCACGTGACGCGACCGCGGCCTGGCGCCGGTGAGGTATTTCCCGTCAC